GCTCGCGTACTTTCACGAGGAACGCGCGTAAGAAAGGGACGCTCGTACGAGAGAAGCGCACGCGTCAATGTATATTCGAAAAACAGGTCGAGCGAGATGAAACTCGATGACGATGACTTGTTGACAGAGAACTTGAGGAAATTGGCCTGCGGGTTACGCGTTAGAAGAAAGCTTCGAATAAACTTTTACGACTCCATTTACGTTGCTTCCATCCCTCCGCCCACATCCCCCCTTTTCTATCGTCGATTAAAAATAGGAACGAACCGATTACGCGTTTATCGATTTCCCGATTTTCGATACGCGTACGACATGGATAACGAGAGCTATAGGTTTGTCGGTCTCCAACCTTTTTCTCATTCGTGTCCGAGTAATCGTTCGTTCTGCGTCGTATCTGAAAAGTACGCGGGACGTTCGCACGCTCGTCGACTCGCACTTACTCGAACTTTGTCAGCTACAACGTTCGAATCGACGGCGTCGATGCCTCCCCCATCGGCTGCCGTCATGAATTCGTGCGTTTTGTACGCCAGCTCCGGGCATTTCTTTCGCCGTGGCAATGGTGGTTCCAAAGTGGGTCCTGAAACGAATAAACGTGGCTGCTTGAGATCTTTCATTTGGTATCTATCGTCTTTTGTTTACACGAAAGGGACACTACGCGCGTCGCGTTCTCGACCGCTTCTCCTTCGAACGAGTGAAAAGAAACCTTTCGGTTCGCGTCACGATTCGAACGTACGATCGTTTAGAAATCGATTCCGTTCTTTCTCCCTATTGCTGGTAGTAAGCCAAGAGAGCAGCTTGTTCGAGCAGCCAAGAGAGACGCTTGAGTGGCTCGAGACTTCGTTTGGGGATGGAAATCGATTTCTGATAATAGAGGTAATTAAACAGCGGCCGAGAACGTGCACGATGTCACGGGAAACGAACTTATAAAAAGAGGCGAACATCTCGAGGCGACAACACACAGAACAAGCGGGAAGCTGCTACATCTTGCAGTATCTGCAGGCACGCGCGCGTACGCCGCACACAGAAGATCACACAAAGTCGTAGAAAGGAAAAAAAGCGTTCCTCTGTAAGAAGCAGGGAAGAAGAAAATGAACTTGTAGTCCTTCTCTTTCTCGTTTCTTTTCATTTTCGAAGCAACACGTCCACGCATAAGCATCCAGCAGCCGTTGTTCGCCCTCTTACCAACACGCTTGGTAATTAACTCTCTATATTTTCGCTAGCCGCCTGTCGGAGCAGAAACTGGAAGAGGCACTTTCTCCTCTCGAGGCTCGAACGCTTGGAACATTGCTGAAAGACGATTATAAGCGACAAAAGCTTAGAAAGCGTCTCGAGTGGCTCATAGTTTCGCGAAGCTTGCTTTTGTAAACCGCTGGATGTTTTCCTCGGTCTCGAGTTCTCGCGGAGAGATCTCGCCATCGTTCCGCGACCTCGCGTCCTTCCCGTCACGATTTCCACGCCCTGTTCAACGATTCGTCGTTTCGATTTCACTGGAAATCGTATTTCGTAGAAATCGACGCGACACGGCACCGCGTTTCCATCGGTGCTGTTTCGTCGCTGACGCGCCGCGCGTTGAATTAAGGTCAACGGAAATCGGATTCCGAAGAGACGACGTTGAAATCGCCGCACAGGGGTTAAAAGTTGAACACGAGACGAAGTTAAGTTGTCGTTTCGAGGAAAAGTTGCCGGATACGGTAATCCGCCGGTACTTTGAGGATAAGTCGTGCCGTGCCGGCTTTCGGTCACGCGATTCCAAGCTTCGAAGTGTTTCGGGAAATGCCAGGTGACAGAAAGAGAACAGAAAGAGAGGACAGTTTGAGAGAGACAGGCCGATTCTTCGCGTGCAAGCGTTTCCGTTTGCATTCTGTCATTTCCGCGCAACCGATTCGTCGCGAATGTTCCGCTTTCAGTGCGGCCATAATCGCTAGGCGATGCTAGGACAGTCAACAATAACGTGCACACGAATGATCGATGCGACGTTGAGCGTCTATGCATTCGTCTCTCCTCGTTTCTGATCGTCTAATGCGACTGTTTTATCTGTGTGCGTACGTACGTGGCGCGTGTGTTTGCACGTCCATGTTTGCGTGTCTCTGCGTGTGACGATGCGTGGATCATTAACTCGGTTATATAAGCGTCGTTGAAACTTTAATACGACGATATCGTGCACTTTGGTGTCAGTGTTGATCTGTTTGCGGTTGTTAATCGAACTAGATTTGTTACCAACGAGCCAGTTTGCAGAACGAATCGAATCGAAAAATCAGTATCCTGTTGGAAATGGCTCGATCTATACCTAAATCAGATAGTAGGAGAATGATAGCGAGGCCTATCGAATAAGGACCATTCTTCCGGTGTGTTTTGATCGAAGCTAATCGCATCGGTAGGATGTCAGCTTTGTGCTCCAGTTGCGTAGGTGAATAGAGATCGACGCTCTCTGCTCGATCATCCGTAGGGGAATACTTCGTTTTATGCCGCCGAATTATTAGATCATGCACCAAGGGAAATAATAGAAAAAACAGTTTTATCGTTTCATCGCCACACAAGTCGAACGATCGCTTCGAAAGATAACACGGTACCGTTTTTTATAAGAATAAACATGCATCAGCTTCGTTTCATTCCGCAGACAGATGCTCTACTTTCAAGATCTATGAATAATGTTAGGCTTAACTTCCATATGCATGGCAAACACGATCGAACGCAGTGATACCAATGGTCTGTAGGACAAAGAAACGATCAAAGTTCCGATCACTCGTAAAGATCGTGCAACGTGCAAGTATTCAGTCGATCGACGAACGAAGGTGCACGCGAGATTGATTTAATACCGAAAGAAAAAAAAAAGATTTCCTGTGTTCGAAAACATAAAAAGAACGAGACTTGACGGCGGAAAGGAAAGAAAATGACATAAAAATAGGAGAAAAATGAGGAAAACTGGACGCTCGTTCGTTAGGCACTGATACGTAAGATCGTTTGCTCCTTTCGCTTTGCTAAATCGAAAAGCAGACGGAAGAGTCACGGACAAGAATTTTCCATCAACCGTTTTCCTATTTGTTGCTTTTCTCTTTAATTGTAATACCATTGTGAGCTGTGACAGTCGCGTAATATAATTGTCAGCCGGCATTTCTCGGTCACCCATGTCGCAGACTTTAGTTCATGCCAGAAAACTGTCAGAAGGATTTCCGTGCATATCAATAGCCGGTGTGAGACAGATAAAACCGCCTCCTCTTTCACTAGCACCTACGCCTTCTAGTTTCAACCGTCGCTCGACTTACTGGCTATGAATTAATTATCTCCACGGGCTAACGTTCTCGTTTCAGCCAATGAAACAACTCTCATTCCCTTTGAATAAGGATTCACCGAGAGAAGTTTCGATGAAAGTAAAAGTTCGCGGTTTCCAGAAGAAAAGAAGGCGAGCAAATAACAGGTAGAAACGAGAGATTTGCCCGTTTTCGTCTCCTTTCTTTCCGTCGCGTCACGTTTCGACGATTCCCAACGCGCGGGCTGCAAATAAATTAATTACACTGAAGCGGCTGTTCGCACGCGGGGAAAGTTATTTTCGTCGAGTGTTTGTTTGATGCTATTTATCCGCCAATTTTAACGTGTATTTACGCCATAGAACGTTGATTTACGCAGTTGATATTTGCTGCGTGATCGATCATTTTTGATAAGTTTCCCCTTCGAATCTGATCGAAATGTAAGCGCATCGGACAAAATCATCGAGCCGGACGTTTGCGCGCTGATTCCAATTGAAACGATAGAAACTATTCATCGGACGTGAATTGCCGTCGATATTAATCAGAGACTAGAATTACAATATTGACCGTGTGTGTTTATGTATTTGGATAGCGTGTACGTCGAAACGAGCATGATACGCGTAGAATCGTGTGCTTGCCTGGCTTAATGTATTTAAGCAGAGATAACAATGGGTGATTCGTCAACGAGATCGAATCGAACTAATAATCATCGAGGCCACTGTCATAAAAGATATACACCGGATTACCGATACGATAGTCGTTCGACTATGTTACGAGCCGCGCACGTTTCTCGTATCGCGTTTTCTGCGTGCTTCCTCGAATCGATCGAATTTTCAAGCAAAATCCCGCCACTTGACAGCTATTCGAAGAAGAGTTCGCGGGCAATACGCAATGGACTAGCATTGATTAGTCGCGTCGTAACGTTGGCAGTGGAAAACAGGTCAGACGGGAATAATTTTCAGACCGAACAGAGTGTAGTAAACCGGTAATCGTAGCGAAAATGTGGGTCGCCGCTAGTCTTCCGAAACGGTTGGGCTCTTTCCACCGTAAAAATTGCGGAATATTTTCGCGATAAAAGACTTTACGTCGTCCGTAGCAACTGTTCCGTGTATATAACTTTACGTTTGCCAAGAAACTAGAATGGCGAGGGAAGGAGGAGGATAAGGAGGAGGAAGAGAAAGAGATGTGGTCCGATGCATCGAGGAATCGAGTACGTTTTCAAGTGGAAAAAACGTAGAACGCCAGGGTGACCGTCGACGAATCCACTACGATCGTGGCCCCTGTAACACGTTGATTAATCCCCGTTAGGCGAGTCGGTGGTTTTGCGTGGGCGTAATTTGCCGCAAATTCATCTAATATCGGCGGTGTCTCGCATCTCCCGGCCGATAATTAAATTTGTTGCTCATTAGCCAGTGACGGGCATTAGCCTAGTCGATGGTTTTCCGCGTACGACACGGGAATTAATTGTCTCGAGCGATTGTCTCGTCCGATCGTAGGGACGATTAATCGTCGCAATTTCACGATCGACAGTTTTCGAAGGCAGACGATCGCGCGTCTCGGTCGTACGAGATAATCGCGTACGCACATATACGCGTATCTAGTATCTATACACACGCGTACACGAATAGCGTCATGTGTTTTGCCAATCGCAGGGACGAATCGGGATTGAAAATTAATTAGCTGCGGTCTAATTGCAACGATTAATCGCTACAATCGGCCTGAAGTCCAATGGGACGGCGTACACCACCTACAACGCGGCAAAAGTATAGAGGCAAGCGCCGCGAAAAATGTTTGATTGCCGTGCAGGCGAAAAGAAATGCGGCGAGCAGAAAAGTCTAAGGAAACGCGCGCGGTACCTTCGACCTAACGATTTCAATTAAGAGGCTCCCAAACGCAGAGACGTATGCAAAACTGAAATGCGTTTCTACTGCGCTAAATCGGAAGGCGCGATCGACGCAGCAAATAAAATGAGAAACAGATACAACTAGGAAGAAGCTTTCTTTCTCGATGTTAAAAAAAAAGAAAAGAAAGAAAAAGGAAACAATTATAGAAACAGAGTCCGTTTTCTCTTTTCTTCGCGTTTTCTCCGTTTTACGTAAAGTTGAATAAGCGGTTCGTCTAAACGTCTTGACAAGTCGAGCAGCGCAAGGATACTATTCATCGTCCTTCTATCTTATGTAAATGGACAGGGAAACCCGCGTTTGTCTATAGAAGGAATTGATTTGCTTCGGAGTTTTTTACAATACGCAATGTTTATCGAGCAATCGTTGGATGTTGAAAAATCGCGTGTCGTCTCTTTCTCAACTTTCTCGGGCGAGAATTCTTTGGCGAAAACCGTGAGGGGCCGAGTGGTTATTTTTAGCGCGAATCGCGAAGCTGATAGTTCGAGAATTCTGGAACAAGTTGTAACAAGTTGTATAGAGTTCAATATATGTATATGCTGCGTATATACAACGATACATTTTCGAGGCAAACCACTGTGCGAACTTTCGTGCAAGTAAATGCGGAGGCGCATCGTGCAGTATCTATCTAGCCTATGTATCTACTTGGAGCAGAGGTAAAGGTTGTAGGTGTTTCAAGCGGTCCGTGATAACGGACAGTCCGACTGGCAAACGTTAACGTATAAAACATTTGACAATGCACGAAATCAAAAACAAAAGAGAGTAAAACGTCTTCGAAGGAGCACCGTTTCCAAACGAGACTCTTCCAAGGGGCAAGATAGAAAAACAAAAGGGTGCACCTTTGTTCGTTTCGGTTCGATGAGATACGCTTCTCGACGAAATACGTTCTTTCCCCCACTCCTCCCTTTTTCTCTTATCTTCTTTGTTTCTTTGTTTTTTAAGATCGTAGCGACTGTACACTTCGCGCGTTTCCTCGAGAGAAGTACCTCGATCGGTTATGCCAACATGCCCTGCGTATACAAGATCTAACGGGTACAAAGAAAAAGAAACGCGTGCCTAAGGACAGTCGATGCAACCTAAACACAGCCTGCACAATGGATGCATTCACACACCGACGTGACAGATGAGAATGTTCGCGCGAGATTCGTCGCAAAACTCAGAGGCAAGCGCAGAGAGGAGATTGAAACGTTCAGACCTGGTTCGCACTTGTGTTTTAATCCGGTGCATTTTTTTTCGAGCTCGCGAAGCTCGAAGGTCGCTTCGAAAGCTTTGTAAACATTCTATATCGAGCACGGCTTTGCCCTCGAGAAATTAATGCGTATGTAACGGTCGAATAAAACGGAATTGTTTCTAAACACGAGACCGACCGGTGGTCTGTAATCGCACGGTACTTTTCTACTTCTCTTCGACACGCTATATGGCTATCGCTATGATTGTTCTCGGCGATGCAAAACCGCGATTACAAAATAGCAATGCGAACCGAGTCTTAGGAATCATCGGTTAACCGCAAGCAAGCATGCTCTATTAACCCTTCGACCGTGAAACTCGCGAATAGAACGTCGACGAGTATCGACGGTGTCGCGGCACAGAGCTCGGAAGAAGGTGTCTGGCGACGTTTCCGAAAGCGAAAGTTACTTCAGAAGGGTTAATTACGTTGGATGGGATCTCCTCGCGCCTGGGGAATGGGATGATTAAAAGAAAAGAAGGGCGGAGTTGAGAATGAAACGGAGCAAGGCCAAAGTGGAAATTCCACCCCCCAAAAGGTGTTAAAAAAAAGGGGCTAAAACGAGCGAAATAAACCGTAATAATCTAGATGTTTGCGTAGCTCCGATCGTTCGTCTTACCTTCGTTGTTCTCATCCTCGGTTGACTTGGCCGATTGTAGCTTCGCGCTCGGTTGCTTCGCTGCAATCAAAATTCGCAGCTGGCACCGTATTCGTCTTTCTTTTTCTCTTTTCTCTCGTTCCCATTTTCTTTTCTCGTTTTGTCTTTTTCCCTTTTACTCGTTGTCTTTCGTTCACTTTTCTTTCCCTTTACGTTCTTCGCTTTTTACTTCTCTCTCGCTAAACTCGCTCTTTTCCGGTTATCCGTATTTTGGCTGCCCAGTCTAGTGACCCGTTTCGGTTTCGATACCGCTTGTCTTTGCGTTTCTTTTTCAATAACAACAACGATAACAAAAAAAGAGAGAGAGAGAGAGAGAGAAATTGGCCCGAAAACCGATCCCACGTTCACGAGAACGTCCAAGCAAGCTCGTTGCCAAATCAAACGTGAATCGTTTGTAAATTCCTGGCCGCTATCGATAACCGATAGCTACGCCTAGTGATTAATTAATTATTTTCACGGTAGCTCACGAGCCGTGATTGGGTTGATATAGTCTGCGTGATCGACGGCCACGTGTCTCGAGACGTTTTGCGATCTTATGAATCGCGACTCTGAGGATGTATAGGACGTTTAGGCTCGTATTAATATAGAATCTAGGATAGCTGTATATATAATTAAGCGTTTTGTCACACGTTCACGTAAACGTCGGCATTCAAAGTAAGGAATTAAGATGGAGGAAAGGAAAGTGTGAAGAGTTCACAACATCGACAAGACTGAACAAAGAATGTACACGTTATGGAGAAATCAGTGGTATAATTGGACGTATAAGACAGACGTAGTGAAACAAAATGTTATACATACTTATATATGGTACGATTATACGAGTCACGAAGGTGAGAGACATGGCGGTGGTGGTGTGAAAACGGGAGGTGAAACGTGACGACAGAGCGTGTGCGGTATTAATGAGACCAGATGTATGATGACTATAAGTAGCACGATCAAAGAAAGAAATAAAATCGCTAAACACCTTTTACAATACTAACAAGGGGAAGAAAAGATCATGAGAAAAATGGAAGTCGATAAGTACGAATCATCTGGAGCGTGATACGAGCGTGAATTTCTTCTTTCATCTAAAATGTGATCATAATCATTATTATTATCGCTATCAACATCGTCATCGCGTCTATTTAAATTTCGCATTACACGTTTTTCCACTTAATTCACCGATCGCGTTTTCAATGCGTATTTCTCTATAAGCGTCGCCGCGTAGCAGAGAACGCTCGTAACGTGAAAACTAAAATGCCGTTCGCAGCATATTTCTACGTATGAATTTCGAGGCTATGGTACGTTAATCGCGTCTCTAACAACGTTATTCAACCCGACGATTCAGCGACGTTGTTGCAATAAAAACGCGGAACGCGTCACTATTTTTCCCTCTTTTTTTCTCTTCTTTTTTCTTCTCTTTTTTTTTCTTTTTCACGCTCGCGACTGCTGATATGATTCTAACGAATTTATGGAGACAATTATGTAACCTTTAAACAGCACGGTATGGATGCCTGAGGAAATTTATCCAGTCATCCTTAATCAGGTTCGTTGCTCGTGTTAGTTTCTTTGTGAAAACCGCTTCGTAGATTTTTTCTTCTTTTTTTTTTTGCTAAAGCGCTCTGCTGCTGTTTTATTTACTCAAACACCATACCGATATCGAAACTATGCGACGATTTAGCTAAGAGACTAGATCGTACTGATCAAACGACTGACTTTTTCTAGATCGTGAACAGAGTATGTATATATAAACGGAGAGTTAAATAATAAATAGAGTGAACTTACTCGACGTCGGCGGTGGTTGCGGAGCTCGACGAACGACCGTATGCTCCTGATGCGGCCCAGTGTACTCGTGCCATGTGTACGTGCTCCTATACTCTGAATGGAGCTGCTGTAATACAGAATCGATGCGGCGAGTTATTACAAAACGATAGCTGAAATATCGCATAGTAGATTTCGTGGATCTTTCCCTTTAAGCACCGCGAGTCGTTGTGAAATAAAACATCCACCTCCTCTTCGTTTCGCACACTTTGTTGCGTTTTTCCCTTCGACGCTTTCGACACCTATGATATTCACCGATCCGATATACCTTCGAAACACCTAACGATGTAAAGATCGAATCGTCGAACTCAAAATCATTGGGGGAGGGCAAACGTTTGAAAAGAAAGGCCGGGAATTTGAATAAATAGGACGATCCTATTGTGACGAACTTGTTAACCATATCGTGTCAGAGTTAATCCAGTACGAACGGTTAGGCGATCGATAAAACGATTTGCCGATTGTCTGTGACGATCGAAGCATAAGTTCGGCCCCCTTCGGTGTTGTATATCGCGTGTACGATTCAACTTCGGGTATCTGGATAGACTTTACATTTCCCTGCGACAAGTAGGAACGAGAAGTCAATCGTATCTGCTGTTGGCGAGAATGTTCGAACCTATGCACGTACAATCGAATACGATGACAACGGGTATTGATTCGCAGAAGTGGCCAGAAACGACTCCTTCCTTCCTTCCCTTTCGTTTCCTTCTTTTTTTTTTGTTTTACTGTAAAAAATGGAGTTTCCATGAATGTCGATCGGTTTCCCTTCGATGAATGTACGACGCTGGTATAAAAATAAAGCGTTAACGCGGCTTCGTGAAGGTTGCGACGAACAAAGACAGAGGACAGATAAGGAAAAAGGAAGAGAATTATAGAAAAAAAAAGAAAAAAAGGAACGACACCACTTTACCGGCGCGAAGATTTCGACGAACGTCAGATCGTTTTCATGGACCGTGGATAGGCGAGGAGAAAAGACGTTTTCTAAAAGGCATAAGAGGAACGGGGATATATTTTATCGCATTAGCAGGCAGGTCGGTAAGCTGTCTCTTTCCGCGGGATTTTATAAACCTGACAGATTTGTAGCGGCGTCGCTAATTGCGTTGTCCTGTTTTTTCAGAGTTGATTGATTTAGTTACTTAACCCAGATACTGTCGGTTCTATGTCCGAGAACGCGGAGGTGACAACGTGGTCTGGACACGCGTACCAGCGCGTATGGTCAACCCGGCTACGTTCTCTAAATATTTTCATTCGTTTCCATGCTCATCTGTCCGACCGGACTTTTTCCCATTAACAAGGAGCAAGTAAAACAACAAGCACGATCATCGTTGTTGTATCTTCAAATATTGTACTACAGAGCCGGATAACAGTAACTACGTTACGCATTTCGACATTTCCGAAATAAAAGAAACTGATATTTAACGATTCGAGGGCGACTCGAGGAGCATGAAATATTTCCAACGTTGTGTATCTGGGCGTTCATTGTACCAATTAAAACATGCTGCAAGGTTTCGATAGATAGACAGACAGGTCGATGCATGGGGCTTCCATAATCCATTTGCAAAAGCTTTAGGCTCATATGTCTATCGCGCAGCGAAATAATTATTGTAATTTAGGCCGAGATGGTACCGACGTCGTGCTAATCTATTTGTCTTTTATTTTTATATAGATTTCATAATATCTTGTTACAAAATTGTATTCTCTTCTTCTATTGTGTTATCAAAGAGTATTCGACCTCGGGGCGCGATATTTACGCAGTCGGTTACAAACCGCATTTCTCCCGTTGCATTTCGAAACAATTTGTTCCGGTGTGGCGTACGTGAACGCAAAGCAGAGGAGAGGCGCGATCAAAAATGGATCGGTTGATTTAAAAGTATAGCGTCGATGCAGAGCGGAAAAGCAGCACCTACGGCTAGTGCGGTGGACTGCCGTATTTACGACCGTCTATCGATCCTTATACGTTCATTTATTAATGCCGATGTGGGGCACTGTTAACCTTTTCGTATGTCGCCGCGCCCACGCCACGCCACGCCGCTTCGCCACTCGCCCTACCACGCGAACATTTCCATAATTTCGTCCGATCGCTTACAAAGTCAACGATAAGCGGAATTTGATGACCTACTGCGAAATTTTCAATCGACGTCGCTCTGATCGCTAAATACCGGTAAGAGGTACAATTTAAGACGCGAAAGTTTCCTATTTGCCATAAAAAAGAAAAGAACGAAAAAGAAAGAATAAAAAGAAGCGAACAACGCTACCTCCGTTGTTGGTGGAAACTAGTTTCGCGAAGCGAAAGAACTTCCGTTAACTTAATCACGATGTAGGCGATGGAGAGTCTCCCAGCGGAGGATTCGATCGACTTCGAATCGCTGAGAGCTCGTAGATCGCGGAAATGAAAAGCAGAAGCGGTATTCGAGGAAGGGAGGGCAAAATCAAAAGGTCGATGTGATTGTTCCGATGAAATTAGATAGCGGTAGTCGGGCACGAAACACGCGAAGGCCCGCGGAGTAATTGTCGTTAAAAGTCGCGTTTAACGAGATAGCCGGTTAATTGATAATTACGCCGTAGTACAAAGAAAACTGCACCGAACGATGTCGCGTGTGCAATTAATAGAGACACCGCTGTGAACGCGTCTCGTAATTAAAACACGAATAACTAACGAGAAATTATACCGAGCTCGCTCGAATCTGCGAACGCGTGCGAAAACGGAACGAAGACGACGAAGTC